ACAGAGACAGACGGATCTCTGCGAGTTCAAGGCCAGCCTGGCCAGCCTGGTCTATATAGCAAGTTCCAGGACAGCTGGAGCTACAGGGAGACCCTGTCTCAAAAAGACAAAAAAAAAAAAAAAAAAAAAAAAAGAACAGGATATTCATCAAAATTCATCTTTGCTGGGGTTACAGAAATGGACCCCTGATAAGAACAAGAAACAGAAATTGGCAGGCAGTTTTAGGGTAAAAAGACCCTGAAATGTGACCACTTCCTTTCTTGTCTAAAAGCCAGAAATACCTTAGACCTATTGGTAGCCTCATCCTTGCCAAAGAACAGAGATGTCAGAAATGATTAAGCCAAAATGTCTCTAGTTTTGCCTTGGCCAGAGGCCAGGAATGTCAGAAGGGAGGTCTGGATTCTTATTTCTTTTCCCCCCAAATCCTACCCTTTCCTGGAAATCATACTGAGGCTGTGACTAAAACTTAACACCTGGAAATGGGAACCAGACAGACCAACTCAGGCCCTTCCTCCATTCTTTCATTCAGTAAAGCCTTATTAACTCCCAGACAGAGACCCTCAGTGGCATCCCACTCCCCGGACACCCTTAAGCTCCCTATAATAAAAAATTTCTTTCTAAAACTCACTTTCTTTGGTTTGTGAATTTCATTCTTTAAATTCGTACCTGAAGGCCACTGACTCAAAGTTCTGTGTGACTATGATAATCTGACACTCTTAACTTCTGAGTTAAAAGCGTACCCGAGTCAAAAAAGGTCCTGACCGAAAAAAAAAACAACAACAAAAAAAGAAAGGTTCTGTCCCTCTCAATGAAACTCCAATATTTCATATCACCACCCAGTTTAATGTTGGTGATAGAAAATAGGGATCTTGCATGCTAAGCAAGCACTCTATCAACTGCACTATATCCCCAACCCTAAGAAAGAACAGAACTCTTAAGTACTGATTATATTGTCATAGATTGATCATTTTATGACTACTTCAAAAATTTCAAAACTAAATGATTATAACCTCTACATTTTACAAATGAATCATTAGTGAAACAAAGAGATGTAGCAGGTTGTCTCAAATGAAACCATTTCTAACCCACCAGGAAGTCTTTAAGGAAATATGCCAAGGACAAAATTCGTGCTATTACTTCAAGAAGAACTGGTGTTTAGAATCTGGACTCTTTGCATGGAAACCAAGTGAGATTTAAAGAGAGTAACAAAAGTTTCTTGAAAAAAAAAAAGACAGAATAAGTTAGATTATACACATATACACAAAGGAAGACAAAGTAGCTATAAATTTAAAAGATGCCTGTTAAATATATAAAGCCAGTCAAATCTGAAAGGCTAGAAGATACACAAGAAAGCATTTCATTCCTTTAACAAATATTTTCTAAGATCTATAGGGCCAGAACTACTATTCTACAATCTGTACAATAAAGACTAATAAGGAAAGGACTAATTACCATGAAGATTTGGTAGACAAAAACATGGGTACGGTGGGAACTACTTCTTTATCTAGTGTAAGCAACAGCAGGCATACTGTGAGAAGAATCATACTATGAGAAGAATGTTCTGCCTTCATTCTGAAGACATCTGGCAGTTAGGTAACAACTGTTCAAGAAAAGCAATATAAAGAGATGTTAATGAAAAATAATAAATATTTTTGAACCCAAGATCTTATCAAGACTTTATTGACACCGCTTTTTGATCACCACATTCTACCTCTCTTGGACTAATAGTATCAAAATGAGATCAGCTGACACCGGAAATCCTGAGAAACTCTTAGCCAACAAAGTACAAGCTATGAGTTAATGCCCAGGATTTAGACTATCATGGGAAAGTGTGAATTCTAGATGGAGTTGTGTCACTTCTGACCACACTGGTGAGAAATGGTAGTGAAACCATTTTATAAAATGTATGTTTCTATCACTATTGCCTAAAGAGTAGTAAGCTCTAGTGACTGTGCCTAAGATGGAATAAAAGGAACCTTGCACCTAACTTTTCATCTCCTTTCCACCACAAAAATATTACTATAACACCAACAACAGTGATTCAACCACATTCACAGCAAATGCACAAAACAATAGGTCAGTCTATGATCTGAGAATTTCACCTTCCTAGAACCAGAAGGCTGAAATTGGGACCAAATGAATGAGATAGGTTTAAAATTCTGGGACACAATCATAAAAGGGAAAAAAAAACCCTACAATTCATGCACTATTGTAACGCCCTGTGATCTAGAAAGAGGAGCACCAAGCTACGGCATTTAAATAATAAAGAAAAGCAATCTTATTTTGTTCTGCAAAAACGGTATAGAAAAATCTACCATTACAGAGAATTATAATTCAACTGAAGACAATAAATGAATTATGCAAAAGGGCCATGGGCATATATGATAGTGTTCAATGAAATTAATATATCTATGCCTGAACTGTCCAATACACATATGGGGCTTCACATTAAGCACTTGAAATCTGGCAAATTAAAGATGTGCTACAGCTATAAAAATCCCCATTTCTTCCATATTGACTTTATAGGAATAATAACTTTTATATTGAGTAAATGCTGGAATATTTTTGCTATAGATTAAGGAAAATAAATTAATGTCATCAGTTTCTCTTGACTTAATTTTTTTGAGAGAGAGTCTCAAGTAGTTCCACTTCCTAAATAGCCTAGGATAACCTTGACCTGATCTTCCTGCCTCCATTTCCTGAGTTCTAGGCTTATAGGAATGTACCACTACACATGGTTTACCTAGTACTGGGGATGGAACCCAAGGCTTTGTTCATGCTAGGCAAGCACTCTATCAACTGAGCTACAATCCCTGGCTCACTATGTTTGAAGTGTAGTGACTAAAACATTTTAAAAGTATATACATGGCTCCTATCTGAAGGCTGTATGATACATTAGTTACCAAGAGAAGCACAGTCTGAGAAATGCAATCTGGTTGGTATGTCAACTGCACAGAGTATACTTACACACACTAAGATATCTACATCACTAGGCAATAGAGTAATAGACCACAGTCCTTTAATGAGTAAAATGCCATTAGGCAGTCATGACTGCGTTTCTTTCAGTAAGCATTGGACTCTTCTCTAGTATCTCCCTAAGTAAGGCTTTCTTCCACAATATAATTTTACAAAATCAAAAACACAAGAGTAGATTTGAAAGACAATACAGTTAAGAAGCCACTGAATTAACAAGAATAAAACAATACAGACCAAATTAGAAAAAAATCAAAAAGGAAGAGATAGCAAAGATCACTAAAAAATACGGTGCCAAGTCACAGCAGACTTCATGATCACTGAAAAGCTGACGTCTAGGTATTCCTCCCTTGAGATCCCTGCCACTCTCCCCTCTCTCAGGAGTTCTTTGCTCACTTTTCCTTAATAAACTGACATTCACTGTGCTTAAAAAGCAGTAAGATGGTAAGAGTTCATCAGTGAATTTCAGAAAGTCAACATGAATTAAATACTCAAATTTTCTAATTTTCTAGATCAACCATAACATTTAGCTATCCTGTTTCAGGAGTGTGTTTTTTTTTGTTTTTTTTTTTTTTGCTGTTGTTTGTTTGTTTATCAGGAAATGGAGTCAGCACACAAAAGCAATATGTATGCGTGTTTACTATTCACACTAGTCAAGGTGTGGTGCCAGTCAACAGATGAATGAAGAATATAGTATGTAAACAACAGTATTATTCAGCCATGAAGAATGAGGTTTTATCACTTGCAAGAAAATGGATGGAAGTGGAATAAATCATATTAAGTGAAACAATTATAAGTCCTATGTGTTTTCTTTATATATAAAAAGGACTGGATATCAGGGGCTGGATAGAGGGCTCAGCTGTTAAGAACACTATCTGTTCTTGCAGAAGACCCGGGTTCAAATCCCAGCACTCACATGGCAGCTAACAACTGTCCATAACTCCAGTTCCAGGGGATCCAACAGCCTCTTTTGTCCTCCGCGGGCACTGCACAACATGGATGCACTTACTTACATGCAGGCAACACATGCATACACATAAAATAAGAATAATAAATAAAATATTTTTTAAAAAAGAACCTGAAATTAGAAAAGGTGCTATTAAGGGACTGGAAAGGAAACAAAGAGGAAGTAGGAAGGGGAGATAGCCATGAACAATGCATGATATAATATATTCATATATGGAGATGTCACAGTGAATCCCATTTTTACAGTTTTGTTAACTATAATAAACTAAAATTTGGTAAATATGAAAATAAATTCAATTTTTTCAAGTATTGACAGCCCTTTGACTTTTTCTTAACTATAGCAAAATGATGTTTTAGAGATATTAATAAATGGTATGCCAAGCCACAAGAGGAAATAAGCATTTATTTAATGTTACTGGTAGATTTCTAGCAAAGAAATTAATAGTCACTTCATATGAATTATAAGAAAACTATACTGAAGAACTATTTTCCTTTAAAACTAATGATAATGCTGACTTCTTTTTTTAAAATTTTATTTATTATTTTTATTTCATGTGTATGAGTGTTATGCCTGCATGTAGGTAAATGCACCCGTGTCGTGCAATGCCCACGGAGGACAGAAGAGACTGTCGGATCCCCTGGAACTGGAGTTATGGACAGTTGTTAGCTGCCATGTGGGTGCTAGGATTTGAACCCGGGTCTTCTGCAAGAACAGTCAGTGTTCTTAACTACTGAGAAATCTCTCCAGCTCCAATGCTGACTTCTTAAGAGTGAAAAGAAGCATTTGTATAAATTTAGCTATAAATGAAATTTTTCATAGTAAATCACTGGTTCTCCTTGAACTCCATTCATATCTGAGACTGGCCTCCACCTCCCCAGTGCTGGAATTACAGGCATAAACCAGCACACCTGGCTTACAGTGAAAAATGATTTAAGGGAAAACACTGATCACAAAAGGAATCAACTCTAAACAAAATATTTTTTAAATGTACTTTCTGTGTACAAATATGTATGTGCACATACACACAGAGACACACACACAAACATACACATGAACTTACTCCGATAGGCTGAAAAATAAGTCCATCCATTTCATGGCTGACTTCTTTGGCAAAATTTCCTTCCAGGAGCTATAAAATAAATATATTTTCTTTAGAAATTAAATAATAACTTTAAAATGATTTTAACTTCTTGCTAAGCTTTATAAAAAAAAATTTTTAAACTTATGCAAGCTGTAAGAACAGAAAACATGAAAGAGAGGTAGACCCACAGGGATCTAGGTTAAAATGTGACTGCGGTCCTAATTTGTGACTTTCATGTTCTCCAGCACTTCACTCTCCAGAGTTTGTAATTTCTCTAAAGTGAAAGCTGTTACCTGTATTTTCCTTAAAATATAAAGTCTTTTATTTCACTCAGATTAAAATTAGACCAAGCGACTAACAGAAAACCTGAGGAGGGGTTAAGAAGTGAGATAGGAAGCTTAAGTGTTTAATGAATTCAAGTTCTGGTTTGGTTTTGCTGTTGGTTTGGGGTTTTTTAGATAGGGTCTCTTGTATCCTAGACTGGCCTCAAACACCTGATGTTCCTGCCTCCACCTCCCTCTTGCTCAGATAATAGGCCTGCCTTACCACACCCCACTGAGTTTCATAGTTTAGAAAGAAGAAAAAGTTCTAAAACATAATCAGGGATGATTGTACAACAATATAAATGTAGTTAATGTGACTGAACTAAATACTTAAATGTAGTTAAAGACAGAAAATTTTACATTTTATATATACATTTAAAACTGTAATGTTCTTGAAATTTTCCTTTTTTGTTGTTGTTGTCTTGCTTCCCCTTCATTACATCAGTAATGCAGAGATCTGGCAAGCTGGGATCTCAGAGCCATATTATATACAGTGTGGCCAAATGGCCTGAAATTTAAGAACAGTTCATAACTTCATATATTTGCTTTCAATTCACACACAGGTTTAAGTGACAAAGATGGGGAAGAAATTTGCTTAATAAATTATTCACTATGGATTAAGTTTTTGACTTCTTAGAAACGAAACGGAAAACAAACCCCCAAGTATCCATGTGTCAAATACCTCTATCTACATATGTTAAATACATATGATATCATAGAGGGAAAAAAGGTCATCATCAGATAAAGAGAGAGTTCAAAGCCAGTCTGGCCACATGAGACCCTGTCCTCAAAGTTTAAAATAAAATTAAGTCATTGTGACAAAAACTTTCAAACTGGAGAGGACAGGTAGCAAATGGGTCAAATCAGCCAGGAGGTAGGTACACACAGTAAGGACGATGGGTAGTCTCTGACAGTCAGGCAGTCTCCACAGAAGAAGGATGAGCTACCCAGGAGTACAAAGAGTCTTGAAGCTCCTAGTTAAACCAGGGTGGGTTAAAAGGTCAGGTTCAACCAATAACTTAAATGTCAGACATGGTTTAAAACTTACTTTGTTATTTTCTCTCTGATAGTCCCAAATAAAAGGTCTTAGGATTTTATCTATATTTTAAGTAAATCTTATTCATGATTTATAGTGGTATCCTAACATAAAACACACTTAATTTCCTAGATGATCAATAACTAAGTAAGACCCTTGCTGCCTGATGACCTGAATTTGATTCTCATACTCATGTAAAAGTGAAGGAAAGAACAAACACCACAAAGTTGTCCAATGAGCTACACAGGCTCACCACAGTATGTGTGCCCACATATGTATGCATGCAAACACACACATACACACACACACACAAAAGAAAAAAATTTAAAACAGCTAAAGAAAAGTAAAATTTCATGCAATATTCTTGCCAGTGCTAGAAACCAAGTACAGGAATACTGTGGATGCTACAGTAATTTATGTCTCAACCAATATGCCTAAATGACACATTAATTTTGACAGTAATAGTTAAATGTAATGGTGTAATTAAGATTTCTCCCTGTCAATCTTTCTTCAAAAGCAGAGTTCTACTTAAATTACCCAAGGTATTTTTTAAGCACTACTAAAGAATTTTAATTTGTAAATATTTCCTAAAGAAAATTTGCTCCAAGAGTATGTGGTGAATTATCCTAACCTACTGTGCTGGTTAGTTCTGTCAACATGACACAATGTAGAACCACGTGGGAAGAGTATCTCAATGAGGAAATACCTAATCACGTTCTTCTGAGGGTATGCCTGTCATTGTCTTAACTGAACCTGAAGTGAAGATCCAACCTGAAGGTGGGCAGCACCATTTCATGGGTTGAGTCCTGAACTGAATGAAAAGGAGAGAGGGAGTGGAGCATTGGGAAGCATAGTTCTAGTGGACATGTGACCAGCGGTTTTCAGATTCCCCGCCTTGGCTTCCCAGCTATGATGGACTATGACATGGAACTGTGAGCTAAGATAAACCCTTTCTCCCCTAAGTTGCTTCTGTCAAGGTATTTATTCACAACAGATTAAAGACAAAACAGCAGACACCATATATCAAATAGTGCTAGATGGAGCACAGTAGTGTTTCAGATGTTCTTATTCAAAGAACTTGAATGTGTTTACTGATTAATGTAATCTAATCTGTTGAATCCCATCTGAAATGCAGAAAGCATGTAATTTTCCATGGACCAAAGATCTGATGATTGTCTCTGAACTGATACCTTACATGTCTATGAATCATTTGGAAATCAAGTCATTGTAAATGCATAAGCAGAAGATAATGCACCAAGATGTGAAATTAGAAATATAGGACACAAAATAGAAAATGTAAAATTACAAGGCATAGAAAGGAGAAACATAGAATTTTTAACTACTAAGGAATAATTTTTAAATAGTAGCTAAAAAGTACAGTGAAGAGGGAGCTAGAGAGATGACTCAGTGGTTAAGAGCAGTGACTGCTCTTACAGAAGAGCCAGGTTCAATCCATAGTACCCACATCGTTCATGACTCCAGTTCCAGGTGAATCCAACACCCTCTTCTGACCTCACGAGCACTGCATATCATGGGTGCACTTACATACATGCAGCAACACACTCATATACATAACTTTAAATACAAAATATTTTTTAAAAGAAAAGACTCTCCAAAGCTATAAGGAATGCAAATCAGCATTATTAATTCATCATACACACACACATAGCTCCAACTGACTACCTGAGGATATTCAATACAGTATCTGCTGATCTCTTATGGGAGATCACTAAAAGCCAGGTTAGTTTTTTTTTTTAATATATTTTAATATTTTTTATTTTTTGTTTTATGTGTATGAGTGTATTGCCTGCACATATGTGAGTGCACTGGTGTTGTGCAATGCCACAGAGGTCAGAAGAGGGCATCGGATTCCCCTGGAACTGGAGCTAAGGACTGTTCATAGCTGCCATGTGGGTGCTGGGAACCATTTAGTTTTAACAATCCCCACAGAATGGAAGTTTAGGTTTACCGGGACATTAACCTTTAATGTTTTTCGGTCCCAAAATTTAACTCAAGCTCAGGAAAATATTATTCAGTTTATCTATATGCTAAGTGTTCTTCTAATCAGTAACTAACTGTCATGAAAAAATTAACCTTCTTGTTTACCACAAAACTAACCTCATTATGTTCTCTCAAAAAGAATGGTTTGCTTATTACATAACAATAACTAAACTACATCATTAAAGATCACCAATTTATATCTGTAAACAGATTTCACATTATTACCATTGGCTTTTTCATTAATTTGCATTATAACAATTAAAATTACAATAATCTGGTAAATCTCAACTAAAAATCTAGAAAAGGTGAAAGCCATTTACGAAGAAAATACAATTTTGCAATTGTCAAGTCAACAGGATCAGAAGCACATAGGAGAAAAATCTTTGGGCATTCTGTAAGCAAATGTTCAGATCGAGTTCACTGAGGTAGGAAGACCACCCTAAATATGGGCAAAGACATTCCATAGGCTGGGGTCTCAGACTGAATAAAAAGGAGCAAACATAATTTTTAGAGCATCCCTCACCACTACCGCCACTCCTTAAAGTATTGATAATCTAAACATCATAAAACACTCACCTTTTCCAAAATGTTTATGTATTTTGATACCATTAAACCTTTGTTCATCTATGCTCTGAATCCAGATTGCAGCTAGCAAGAAATATAAGTGTTTGTTCTGAGGATGAGCATGAATTAGGAAGAATTTAAGAAATTATTCATTCCAGAAGATTATATCTAGATACCTGTAAGGCATACACTCATGTATATAAAATAAATAAAAACAAATTTTAAAAATGTGAATAATCATGAAGAAATTTTATAGGATATGAAACAGACTATACTGTTTTCACTTACTCTACTCCATAATAAATCAAATAAACCAAAAATGAATGTGGATAAATTTGTTTAAAAACATAGTTAGGTAAAGCAGATATCACTGACATACATCAATATCCGTACCCTGGCAGATCTCTGTGAGATGGAGATCACTCTGGTCTATAAAAGGAGTTCCAGGCCAGCTAGGACTACAGGAAAGCCCTGCCTCAAAAAAAAAAAAAAAAAAAAAACCTGTATCCTGAAGTTTTTAAGTGCTACCATTTTAAGTGTCTGAGGAAGGAAATAATATCTTATGAAAAAATTCTCAAAAGGAGTCAGCAAGATGATTCAGTTGGAAAAGGTGCTTGCCACCAAGTCTGACATCCTGAGTTTGATCCTCAGGACTTATATGATGGAAGAGGAAAACCAGTTCCCTCAAGACATTCTCCAACCTCCAAACATATGCTATGGCATGCACCTACTCACAATAAATAAGTAAACAAAGACAAGCAAATAAATAAACATGCAAAAATATTAGAATAAGATTAGAATAAGTTCTCAAGCAGATAATATTGTCTCATCTCAGTACAATAACTTTAATTTTTGCTTTATTTTTTTTTAAACATGAGTGCATGTATGTAGACTTCAGAACCCCTGGAACTGGAGTTATGGACAGTTGTTAGCTGCCATGTGGGTGCTGAGATTTGAACCCGGGTCTTCTGCAAGAACAGCCAGTGCACTTAACCACTGAGCCATCTCTCCAGCCCCTAAAACTCTTTAAAATTCCAAGCTTGAAGGGCAATTGAAATGGCTCATCAGGGAACTGAGTTTGATCCCACATTGAAAAGAGAGAAACAACTTCCAGAAGTTGTCCT